TTTACTAAAGACTTGCTCTGAACAAATCATTTGAATCAGTAAGTTGTTAACTTGAGACTCACTCTGAATGAATTGTTTGAATCAATGGGTTGTTTACTTGAGACTCATGCTGCGGTCACACTGCAACTTTATCTCCATAGACTTCCATTCATACGCACGCGAATGCGTCAAACCGGAAACGCAAGGCCATGCGGCAAGTTTCGCAGAACTCTGACCAGCGAAATCGCATCACTTGATTGCGTGAGACCAATCTAGTATCAAAACATGACCTTTCTGTACATGAATTTAAAAAATGAAGCAATCGCTCACTTTTATTAAAATCTAGGGATGTAACGGTATCAGAATTTCACGGTACGGTAATACCTCGGTATGAATGTCACGGTACGGTATTTATTGAATCATTTACAGGAAAAACAAAACTTTTGAAAATACTTCAAAAAAGTGCCAAAAGTGTCAATGACATACAAATTAGCCATCTATCTGTAAACTTTGAAACACTAACTTCAATTTTAATAACAAAAAATTATTAAACCATGTAAAAAAATAAAGTTTCAATTTAGTATTGTTGAAAACTCATCACATTCAGCATTTAATCACTCACTCACTTACTTAGAGATGGGTTTTAAGGAAAATTATCATTTAACTATAATCTGGTAAAAGCTGGTATCTCTGGGTATTTACAATGTCCCCTGCAACAGAAAAAAACCCTCTCATTTGGGACTGAGGTTTCTGGGACAGAGATATGACTTGGCCCATGTTGACAGCAGTGGGTAACGTTGTGCATTGTCTTTCCCCCACTTGAGAGGACAAACAAGTGAGATAGAGGTCTCTTTGCGGTACAAGTCAATGTCTGCATCAATCTGAACAGTGTGCTGTGTTTCTGCAGTCCCCATGACTGCTATTAGTCGTATTCCCCAACTTGCAGGCACGTGCACACATAGGGCTCAACATGTGCAGTGCACATGCCCTTTTTAGTCTTGGATAGAAAATGCCCTTCCAAAATGATCAAAAGTGCCCCCGCGACGCGACACAACCTTCGTCTCAACCCCCACTCGGCGCTTTACAATACGCGCACGACAACACAGCTGATCAGAACGCGCGCGACAACACAGCTGATCAGAACTCGCGCGACAACACCGCTATTCAGTACGCGCGCTTTAGGTTCGATCATTTCCATCTTTTTTTCATCTCCGCTACTAGCAGCACACTCCATTTCCGCATTACTGGATCTGTAGCGACAACAGACCGCAAAGGATTATGGCCACGCCTGGGCTGATGGGAAATGTAGTTTCTGGTACCTCCCGTTCGCTTCATTCGCCTGAGCAAATTTTCTCAGAAGACCTATAGTTTTACCGAGTCATGCGACTTCGGTAATATCGAAAAAATTAATATTGCGGTATGACGGTATTTACAATTCCGTTACATCCCTATTAAAATCTAATCATCTTGTTTAATCCCATCCCTTTTCACAGCACCGTACTTTAATGATTCACTCTGAATGATTTGTTCATCAATCATTTGAATCAGTGAGTTGTTAACGGGAGACTCACTCTAAATGAATTGTTTGAATCAATGGGTTGTTAACTGGAGAGTCACTCTGAATGAATCATTTGAATAAGTGAGTTATTTACTGACGATTTTCAGAAAATGTTTTCACAAACCTTTTCACATACCAGATCACTTCTGCATTACATAAATCTTTACAAACAGCCAACGTATAAAACTGTTTCTTTCCACTTTCCCTCATCCTTCCTCTCTGTCTCTCACTTCAAGAGGTTAATAGTGCAACAAACACATTCTGTTCCGCTTTAACCTCCCGTCTAGACAATATATGTCTTCTCTCCTCCAGGCCAGTGCATACAACTCCCTCTAATACCTGGCTTTCTGATGTTCTGTGTCAACACAGAACAGCACTCAGGTTAGCAGAGAGAAAATGCCACAAATCCAAACATCTTGCTGACCTGAACAGACTACAGTCCAAACTCACAGCATTCGTCACACGCGTTCATTCTGCCAAAATTCAATGCTACAAAACAAAGTCACCTTCACTTCAGACATTAGTAAACTCTTCAAATTCCTCCTCATCCACTTCCTCCGACCACCTCCTTATTTGCTTATGAGTTTACCTCTTTTTTTTCTCTTTTTTTTTTACTAATAAAGTGACACAAATTATCAATCGTTTCACACGCCATCCATTTCACATTCACAAAGAAAATCTCTCTCCTTCTCCCTCTTCTCAGTAGTAGTAGTAGTAGTATCCAGACAACTTCTCTATGGACATCCAATAACCTGTTCACTACAACCTGTTGCCTAACACATCCTACAGGACATTTCCTCAACCATAGTGCCTGCGCCATCCATCTAGCTTGGACCACAGGCAACTAAATAGAAAGTTCTAAAACGATCACAAAAATGAATGCACTTCCGCATTGTAGAGTAAGGTCAATACTGTCAACGATGAGTTCTGATGTTCCAGTATAGTAAGAGAACTTCGATGGCTGTTTCCACTAAGCAGAATGGTACATGCTGAAACACCGCATTATAATATTTACAATGACAGTACTCCGCTATGAGCCATGCTCAAACAAAGCTCATTGATTTCTTGTGACAAACATCCACATAAGTAGTAAGTTTAGCATCTTTTGCATGTCCTCCATTGTTTACAATGACATTCACATGTCATGTGGAAAGTGCAAGGGGGCTTGCCGCTCATCAATACTTATAACACATTTGTGAATGCCTGAACACACCAAACATGAAAAAAAGAAACTGAAATGAGAAGGAACTTTCTATACCTACGTAGGAGGATGCATTTCCATACTCACAAGTAGCAGTTTCTCTGTGGTCATTTCATCAAAGGAAACCAAAACTCATGGGGCTCACAAACAAACTGTAAAAATAAATAAATAAATAAAAGCTTTACATTAACTCTTTTTTTTTATGTGTTTACAATTAATTCTGTAGTGGAGAAGTTGAAGTGGACAGTGGAGAAAGTGATGCTTAATTTGTGAACACTTTTATGTACCATTTTCACATTGACAGCAAATGACAGCAGGCCTTTTTGCATTCCTTATTGACTTGCATTGTTTGCTCTAAATGGTGCTGCATTTCTCTTAATAATCCGTTGACAAATCCTATAGCACTTCTTGTAACAAGAGTGGGTGTAACCCATGTATTTTGGTTAAATTTGCTCTGATTCACCTTGGCTCTCTGCTTTGACTGCTCCACCTACACTTAAATTTGCTTTTGTGCCAGTTTTGGCAGCCTCCACCCTTTATACCTGCTGATACCTCTCCAGGAATAGGTGAATTTTCTGCAATTTGGATGTTTTTAATTTTATGGTTTGTAGCATGATTGCAGAATAAGCATTGCTTTACTGTCATTCAAAAATCCTCACTTATGTCCTCATGTAATCTTTGGAAGAATGTGGCACTGTACATTCTATGACTTCTCGGCAGAACAAGTATGCAGTGTACGTAAGCCCTGATAAATAATAGAATGTTCCTTCTGTACTGCACATGCGTGAGGTGTGAGCGCTTTTACTCAATACTCTACCAGACAGTGTTTCCAACTTAGGGATTTTTCAGACCCCCTTAGCGCCAAATTTTTAAAAAGGCGACTAGCGAATGTTTTTAAGTTTTAACGTTACTTGAGATTTTTAGAGAATTTTTGTCCATGCTGTACCATTCCTAACCTTACTCTTCGTGACTAGCTCCAGGTGATGCCGTCGGCTTCTCCCCCACCTCAGAGCACTCAAAGGTGACACAATGCCACACAGCTATCTCTCATACCTGCAGCCTCGAGGGCATATCAATGCTCTTCATACTGACATCAAATGTTTTAGCACCGTGAGCGTGAGGTATTTCCCTGGTTCAGTCAAACTGATCTGCTGTTTTAAATGTAATAATTAAATGGATCGATTATTATTTTCTTGTGGTTGTTCAGAATCGCAGTGATTTTAGTGACACCAGTCTGCCAGAGATCAGAGCATAGGCAGGTAGTCTGCAAGAGTGAGAACATTTTGGGGGAAAAGTAGAAATACGACAAACAATGAAACAGATGATAAACGTTGTGAGCCTGTTAAGGGAGGGCCTGTTCAAATAACATTTTCCAGTTAAACGGCTGCCAATTCACAAACAGAAATTATTCAACTCATATGAAGAATGTTGAATATATACAGTTGAAGTCAGAATTATTAGCCCCTCTGAATTATTAGCGCCCCTGTTTATTTTTTTCTCTAATTTCTGTTTAATGGAGGGAAGATTTTTTCAGCACATTTCCAAGCATAATAATTTTAAAAACCTATTTCTAATAACAGTACAAAACATTTTACTTGATATTTTTCAAGACACTTCTATACAGCTTAAAGTGACATTTAAAGGCTTAACTAGGTTAATTAGGTTAACTAAGCAGGTTAGGGTAATTAGGCAAGTTATTCTATAATGATGGTTTGTTCTGTAGACTATCAGGAAAAAAATTAGCTTAAAGGGGCTAACAATTTTGTCCCAAAAAAATGTTTTTTTAAAAATTAAAAACTGCTTTTATTCTAACCAAAATAAAACAAACAAGACTTTCTTGTGAAGAAAAAACATTATCAGACATACTGTGAAAATTTCCTTGCTCTGTTAAACATCATTTGGGAAATATTTAAAAAAGAAAAAAAATCAAAAGGGGGCTAATAATTCTGAGTTCAACTGTATATAATTTGGACATACTACTCATCTAACGTCATCTTCCGCTTTCACCTATATAGCGAGGAAAGTAGACATATTTGCATGCAAATCAGTGGTTTTGTTGATATTTTAATGTTGTGTTGTTGGTCGTGTCTAATAAATCAAAACTCTCACACATTTGATGTTAACTTCTGCTTTACAAAGTAAGGTGAAGAGCAAGTTTTTGTATGACATGTTTTGAAATGGCTGCTTGAAAGATAGTGTTGTGATCATGGTACTATAAATGTACTTTGAATAATCACAATGTGAATTGTGTTTGCTTTGTAGGTGGGAGGGGCAGTCAGAGAAGTGACAGGATACACTGCCACCTATCGACACATGCTCTCCACAGACGCTGGTGATGAAGAGGGAGACTGCCTACACATTAGGACAGGATTCCACCATGTCATTGAAGGATTTCCCAATTGTGTGGTTACAGATGCAGTCATTAATTTCTTTATGGCTCGCACAGAAAAGATACAACAAGTGGGCTTCGACCCGAGGCTGGCTCGGGTTGGTCATTTAGGTAAGAGGCCATGTACATTGCTCCACATAAATGAATGAAAATTAATTTGTATCAATTTCTCAGTGAATATAGTTCATATATTTTGGTGCATTTACACGAAACCAATTTAATAAACCGATATATTTATGAAATAATATTTCTGTCACCAAACCATTTGTTCTTTGGAAAGAAGAACAATTCTTTGGAATTGGAAAGTTTATACATTTAAATTCATGTGAAATATTGGAAATATAAATTACAAACTACAAAATTTCAACTAAATTTGATAATTTTTTTGTTTCTTTCTCTTGAATTTTGCTTTTTTTAAACTTTTTATTTTATATTTTTCCTTGATATAAATTTGGGTGTATTAATTATGGATCGTCATAAATTATTTAGTTTGATGAACTGCAGAGTTGGCTTCAGAACTAACTAATCTGTTGTATATGCACAAATATAATATTGTAAAGCTTCCTATAGAAGTCATTTAAATGAGAGATTTGTGAGATTTACTCTTATATGTCGAGCACTATATATACTATACATGTGTATATATATAATGTATGTATTTTTATGTCTTCTTCAGGATTTTTTATTGACGGACTGGGCTCCCTCCACGTGGGCTCCTGTAATGATGTTATTATTAATCATGCATCAAAGATCAAGGCAATGCTGCCATGGGGACAGTCTGATATTGACAAAGCCTATTCTAAGTTCCGCTATCATTCCACTAAAGAGACATCTATGAACGAATATGATCTTTATTACCTCAAAAATCATTTTCAATGTGTCACTAGTGACTAAATATGGACTGTTAAAACTTAGGAAAGCACTTTCAGGGTCACTCCCAACAAATAGCCGACGAACATTTATAAACCATAACAGGAAAATGAGCAAATGACCACACACACATGCATTTTTTTTGGTTGTCCACAGATGGCACAGCACATTTAACATCTACTGCATATTTAAAACAATTTTAATGTTGTTTTTGTATTTAATTTGAATATCAGCATTTGTGAGATCTGCTCAGGTTATTTGTGTAAATGTGACTTTTTTTTTTTTTTTTTGTCTTTTTGTTAATGAGGAATGCACATGTATGGTATCATGTCAAGGTTTGTAGAGGTAACACAGATTTTATTTTGACCCTTGGAAAATGAAGAAATGGCACAGCATGGCATATTGTTTCTAGTGTTATTAAACGTTTTATTTAATACTTTTTGTGTTCAAGTATTGAAAAAGGTATTATTGAATAATTCTAGAAGTTAGATGTACGTCTACACATTTTTCTATTTATTATATCATATAGATGAACTGTTCATAGATCACATTATATTTTACACTTTTATAGTGTTGCTCAGTTAAATTATTGTCAATTAAATGGACATATGTACATGTACAGTATGTACAGCATGATTGTAAATGTCAGAATATATATTCATTCATTTTCTTTTCGGCTTAGTCCCTTTATAAATCAGGGATCGCCACAGCGGAATGAACTGCCAACTTATCCAGCATATGTTTTACACAGCGGATGCCCTTCCAGCTGCAACTTAACCCTGGAAAACAGCCATACACTCCCATTCATCCACATACTACGGACAAGTTAGTTTCTTCAATTCACTTACAGTATAGCGCATGTCTTTGGACTTGTGGGGGAAACTGGAACACCACGAGGAAACCCACATGAACACAGAAAGAACATGCAAACTCCACACAAAAATTCCAAGGCTCAAACCAGTGACATTGTTGCAAGACAACAGTGCTACCCACATCGCCACCGTGCCACTCGGAATGTATATAATTACATATCAATTTTGAATTTTCTTTACTGGGATTCTGTCATGTTTTGTCTTCTTTTTTTATTGCAAGCTTGAGCTTGCTAGCCTCTGTCATTGTATTCTTCTAAAAGTTTATGTATAGCTATATTTTTTCCAAAAGTTGTTCTATCTTGTCCGTCATTGGATCAGTTTTTTAAAAGAGTCATCTTATCCTGTGGTGACCTTTTTTCCATTTTGTAACACAGTGGCTGATTATTTATTAACAAAAATTTTATTTGCTAGCTACAATTTAAAGGCCACTGCACTTAACGTCTGTTAGACAATAAAACACACCTTCAATATTTAGTTAACTTACTAGGGGAAAAGCAGACTGTATTCTTTTAGCGGCACAATACATCAAGGCCTTACACAAAAAGGGAGAGGAGACCAATAAAAAGTTTAATTGAATAGAGGGAGAAAGAGAAACTGACACACTTTATTAAAAAATCTAAAACCAAAGCTTACATTACACCTCACACAAATTAATTATAATCAAAAATAAAACGAAATAATTAATATTGAGCTAATAACAACAAATAATTTCACCTAAAAAAGTTAATCATTTATCACCAATTAAATATTATTTTCCCATCCTCACAAAGTGACAATAAAGCCGCATTAGCACACCATTTGAACTCGAACTCAAGTAAATTATTTGTCATTATGAAGAATCTTCCACTCTTATTCTGGATTCCACTAAGGCTGAGAGAGAGAGCATTTCGGATTAGCTTAATTTTGTTTTTTGTTCATTTCATTTTCAAGCCACAAGATGGCGGCAGCTTATCAAGACTTAGTAGACTACATTATAAGGTTTGATTTTCATTCATATCGATATTTCTCAGTGTTGTCTATGGTCACAAAAAAGGCTATAGTTATGTACAGAATCTCTTGATTTCTAAAATGTTTTCCACATGTGTTTCTAACATTTCTATTTTAATGTTTCTGTTATATCTTAATAAACCTCAGGATGATCATGCTATAATTGATCGATATCATGTTAACTGTTTTGTTCAATATGTACAACCCATCATAAATGTATTTGAACAAAGCCTATATAATAAATGTTTGCTTCATGGCTTGGTTCAAAAAGCAGTATTAGTTTAGCATCAATCACACCATATGCTATACTATTGGATAAGTCTTTTGTAAAGCATCAATACTGTGGCTATAATAAGAGATGCCAAGAGTGCCAGCTGGGCAGTCCTGTGAACTAGTAATACGGGCTGCTTTCCATCCAGCCAATTAGTGTAATATTTCTTGAGCTTTAAAGAGAAAGCTGGTGTCCTCCTGAGAATTGTCTTTGAAATACCCCAGGAAAAAAAAGCAGACATCAAACATTAAACAGATCAAATTATTTCAAAATGTTATAATCTGTGTCCTAACAGTAGACTAGCCTATTTATCAGGTCAAGGCAACTGAGCAGGTTTTAATGAGGTATATGAGTGAACTTTGATCCAAATTTGACAATATATGCTTTGTCATTAAATACAATGTGTTTTTTTTGTACGAGCTTAATATTTGAAAACCACTCAGAAAGCAGATGGAACCTAGTTCCAAAGCTGTGTTACGTATTTTGTCTACACAAGAGTTAGCAGTGCTAGCAACGTCTTATCAGCATGTGGGTAATTCTATTTGGCATTTTAAAAGTTAAAAAAATAACTCTTTATAAACTGCAATACTTGCCAGTGTCTTATTGAGAGTATACTCTTTTTCATTCTATTAATTCACTGCTTGCAAATCACAAATTATTATTTTTTTAGGGAAAAATTGTTATTTTTAAACAAATTTTACAGTTGAAGACAGTTATTAGCACCCCAGAATTATTAGCCCCCGTTTGTTTTTTTCCCCAATTTCTGTTTAACAAAAAGATTTTTCAACATATTTCTAAGCATAATAGTTTTAATAACTAATTTCTAATAACTGATTTATTTTATTTTTGCCATGATGACAGTAAATAATATTTGACAAGATATTTTTCAAGACACTTCTTTACAACTTAAAGTGACATTTAAGTTGTAAACTAGGCTTAACTAGGTTAATTAGTTTAACTAGGCAGGTTAGGGTAATTAGGCAAGTTATTGTATAACCATGGTTTGTTCTTTTGTACGATCAAAAAATATATATAGCTTAAAAGGGGCTAATAATTTTGAGCTTGTGATGTTTTTAAAAAAGTTAAAACCTGCTTTCATTCTAGCCGAAATAAAACAAATAAGACTTTCTGCAGAAGAAAAAAAATTATTAGACATACTGTGAAAATTTCCTTGCTTTGTTAAACATCATATGGGATTATTTAAAAAGTAAAAAAAAAATGCAAACGGGGCTAATAATTCTTAGTTCAACTGTATATATATAATTGTTTGTCGACTCAATTTGTTAATGCCAATGACTAATTTGGTAATGTGTAGAAAATATTAACAAATCGTCGCAAGAAAAGTCTTTATTTCCCCATTAGATAAACAGTCCTTACTTGAAACCAAGATGACTTTTCCCCTGTGGAAACACAAGCTCTCTTAATCTCACACATACATGATGACTGTCAATTATGTTACCTATCAAAAGTGTTGCTCTAAAAATGTAACAGTAAAAGAATTGACAATTTTACAACTTTTTAGCCGAAATGGCCACTTGCTAGCATAAATTAAAGAACATGGCACTAATGAAAAGAAGATTCAAATATTTGTAAATCAACCGATGTGTGATCAATAAAATATTCCCCTTCCTTGTGAAATTATAGTAACAGTATTGAGAGTTTACAAAATAATTTTCTCAAAGAGCATACACACAACTTTCAATGCTTCACATCTTATCAGTGAGGGAAAATGACAACATTATCAGTTTTTTACATAGTTGTGGAAGATAATTTCACCAATTTTAAGGCAAAGTATGGTATGGTAACAGAATTGAAGACACGGACATGTATTTTTGGTTAGAAAAATTATATATTTTTTAAACAATTTAATGTCATGGAATTGTGAAGAATTTCCATTTAGAGCTTAGAAATACAAAAAACTATTTCCCAAAAGAAAAGTAAAATAATTTTGTAATAAGTAGGCCTAACACATTTTTTTAAATAATCAAAACTATATGTATTCCTCTCAAATATTTTTTAAAAAGATGCTTAAAAAATGGCTTTGAACTCGTGCCTTGTGTAAAGTTGGTTTTATATTAGCACATTCGGAAGTTTTTTAATCAGCTATTAAAATGCTAAATTCGGTTATTTATTGTTGTAGTAAATTATGAGCAATATGTCCCAACATGGGCATTGTTGTGCTTTTATCCTATGACAAAATTAAGTGTCCGTGGAGGGGTGAAAAAGGCACACAACAACACCAAGCAAAACGTTTATAACACTGAAGCCTGGTTTAGACTTCTGCGTCAAGTGACCGGCGCAACTCACGGCGCAGGCAACGCGCGCAGCTGGGCATTTACACTTCTGCGCACTGTCTCCGTTGGTCTGCATTAACACTTCCGAAACGCTAGTGGGCAGTGAGGTGTAAATTTTCCTCTGTGTCGAGTTTCTTCACTTCTGTTTTGCTATTCTGAACACTTCCTGGATGTACAAGTGACTCAAACTCGCTCATTTTGAGGCAGGAACCGGCGGACGTGCAACAACTTTAACCATGAGGTAAACACAGAACAAAACTTTCCATCCGGAGCTCCTTCACGGGACTCCACACTTGTAAACAATCGCTCGCGCCATTCGCGCGGCTTTCGGTCCCGCCCAGACTCGTCAGCGCTACCAAGCCGACCAATCACAGAGCTTGCGCTACGCGTTGTTGCGACGTGTAGTTACAATTTTTGAGAGGTGCACGTCAGTGACGGCGATGGCCACGGCGAAGGGCTATGCGTCAGCGCCGTAGCCTACGCCGGAGTTTGACGCAGAAGTATAAATCAGCCTTGACAGCGGGGTATAATGCTCTCGCCCAGTGCAGAGGAGTTTCTTAACCATTCACACTGGAAGCTGCGAGCATACAACTTAACTAAAATCACACACAACAGTCAACTAACTTCCCGCGTGATGACAAAACAGCATGGGATTGGCTAATGCACAACTTGGACTTAACGTAAGTAGCTGTAAGGTTAATAAAAATCTTCTTTTCTTTTAATTAATAAACACTACAACAGTATACATACAGTACGTAGTGGGCCTAGCCTATAACGTTAGTTATTTTTATGATAAGAGTCATTTTGCCGAACCAAGGATGTGACGTTTAACTTACTTGTACTCATGTCAAAAACCTACAATAAACTGTAATTTCAATTTAATACGCAAAGTAGTGAGATTTGCAGGGCATTCGTTAAAATTTTGTCCCATATTACCGTCACCAGATCTGTAACGACAATTTGTTTCAATTTTAGACTTACACACGACCTTATTATATATTTGAGACTCTCGAATATACTTTATCATATTGTCTTAACAGTAATTTTAATTACCTTATCTTTCACACGATAATAGTAAATTGTTGAGCTTGGCAAGTGTATTCATGTTAGATACTTTCTTCGAAAAGTACCTTGAAACAAGCTGCTCTCTTCTTAGTGTGATATTAACGGCGGTTGGCAACCAGCTTAAGCTGCTTTCAGTGTGTTGACTGATAATTAAACAGGAAGACAGGGCGGAACTTATTGAGTAGCCACTCCCCTTATCTTAAATACCATAGCGTTTAATATACATTCTTCTCCATATACCTTATAATTCCTATAGCACCGTGTCTGCCATTAAATACACAGTAAATATATAAATAACTGACCACAGCAGTTTTTTGTAGATTCTAAAGAGCATTTTAATATAGAGCATTTGATGTAGGCCTAGATTGATCTCATCAAAAAAGTTACAGCAAATTGGCAGAAGTGTATTTTCAATCATCTAAACGTGAACTTTGTCACTGATTTGCAGTACACTAGTCCACACATTTCACAGGGAGTTCTCACAGCTGACACATTTGTTGTGTGTTTATTTGGTTATTGAAAGGAAAAAGTGCAGCACATATTTGTTTGTCTAAACTGTGTTTCCAGCAGAGTGGACAGTTTCTTGATTTCTTTACCAGTACATTGTTAAAAGGTATTTTACACTTCTACAAAATAATGAAAATGAGGCATGAGTATATCAGGACACTGAATCATGTTCAGTCTCTTCTATATTACGTACAGGTAGGCCTATGTACAACTGCGAGCACAAGCATTGACAGCCACTGGTGTTCATGAATAACAATGGTTTCTGATCGGTAAACCCTTTAAGGACAGTTTACATGGAAATGTCAGTGGCACTTGCAGGAAAGTGGAGAAATCAAGGGAGGGAAGCAGAAATACACAAAGAGCTGCATTGCAACCTGTCACTGAGCAGGAAGCCAAACAGTACACCAAACTCATACAGACATTCAGACTTTTGCATCCCATATTTTGTTTGCCATCAAGGTATAGTTTTCTATCGTTGGCCTGAATCTTATTGGTTTGGCAGTATTCTTAGCAGTGCATTGTAAAAGAGATTAGAACACCTCTTCATAAATTAAACAAAAATCAATCGCATTATCTGTCATTCATTGGAATTAAATCAATGTTTCCCACCAAACATTTGTCATGGTGTGAAAATAATTTAGCCACTGCAGCTCTATACTTCTGTTTGACACCATAATGTGCCCTGACAAACTCATCACGGCATATAGAGGCAAAATAAATGTTGCATTGACTTTAAGTGCACGTCCTTCTGACACACTTGCAGTCAAACGCTGGTTCTTCAGTTCCTGCTTCGAGTCTCAGTCCAAATAAATCTTGAATTATGGTTGTTTCAAATAAATCACACCCACACCATTGTGTTGGTCTCTGGAGGTTTCTCCTGTCAAACCAAATGATGAAGTGTTAATGGAATTTTTTTTTTGCTGTAACAGAGTATGTTTGTGAAATGGCATCTTACTCTCTGCTGTTGGATGTAGACCACGGCATCATGGATTGTTACAAAGATATGCTGAGGATTCATGTAGTTCATCAGCCCGCTGGATGTGAGAATCTTTAGTACGCTCTCTATAGATGACAGAAAATATTGCTTAACATATTATTTGAAAAGTTTGTGCAGGTATATGGTTGAAAACTATTATCCCTCCTGTGGATTTTTTAAAAATATTTTCCAAATTATGTTTAACAGAGAAAGGATTTTTATAACAGTATTTTCTATAATATTTTTTCTTCTGGAGAAAGTCTGATTTGTTTTATTTTGGCTAGGATAAAAGCATTTTTAAAAACCATATTAAGGTTTAAATGTGTTTTTTATTTTATTTTAAAGATTTATAAACATTATAATATACAATATTCTTATATTAATAATCATTTTAACTATTAATAGCCCTCTTAAGCATTTTTTTCACTGATTGTCAACAGAACACACCACTTTCATAAACTGACTTGTCTAATTACCCTCACTTGCCTAATTAACCTAGATAAGTCTTTAAATTGCCCTTTAACCTCTTGAAGTTAAGTGCTATTTTGGGGTTTCCGCTTGGATTTTGCCTACCCAAATTTTTTTGTAAACTCAAATTTGAAAGTGCACCTTTTTAGGTTCTGTGTAGTCTATTGCTGTAATAGTTTTAGTGATTCCTGAACCATGTCAGTAATCATAGGAAAAAAGAATTATGTCACGATCAAAATTTATGCAAAAGTTATCCTATTTCAAATGATTAGGAACTACTTATGGGGATATTGGGCCAGTATAGACCTTTCAAATTTAATAAATATGGAAGTAAATGACGTCCCATGATTTTATATCAAATTCACTTTAATGTGTGATAGGACTAAAGAGTGACCATGAACTAATATTTTCTCAATTCAAACATGTAGCGACTTTGACCAGGAAACAGTATATCATAAGTCCAGACTAAGCAAGCGGATGCTAGAATCTTGAAAAATATTTAGTACAATTATCAAGGCAAAGATAAAAGAAATCAGCTATTAAAACTAATATGTTTAGAAATGTGTTAAAAGAAGTCTTCTTTCTGTTGAACAGAATTTAGGGGAAAAAATAAACAGGCGGGCTAATCATTCTGACTTCAACTGTATCTGTGAAAACTAACCATTGCAGTTAGCCAGGTATATCCGTACCCCAATCTTCTGGCACTCCATGCACATCTGTGGCAGGATAAATGTATGTCATTATTTTTGATAATACCAAATGGTGTCAAAATAATATCTTTACAGCCCAGCTCACTTGTATGAATAACCGAGCTCCTGCAATATCCACAAAAATGACGCTGCTGCAGTCTATCAGCACAGCCTGGACTTCACCTTCAGCCATCTCTACAAGTGATAAATATGCGATACATTTGAAATAAAAACTTTTCTTTAACCATTTGTTTATTCCACCAGAAGTGGCAACACACCTGATGTGAACAAGTCATTCTTTGAAGAAAATGAACTGTCTGCAACTCCTTGCTCCTTGGAAAAAACAAAACAGTAATGCAGTCAGAAATTGTCCTTCAATAATCCATTATTTTGTTCAAACACATATCAGTTTTATACAGGACTGATTACAGTAAAAGCAAAGGCATTTAGAGGTTATGAAGCGATGGTCATTGTAATGTTAAATATGCAGTGCTAAAAATTATTTGGTTACACTTTAAAAATAAAGGTCCAAGAGTTATTAGTAATCAAGTAATTTGCCTTAATCTGAATAAGACAATAATATGATTAAGGTGTTAACATGAGTTGCTTTTTGAATGTTCCTTTCATGATCCCATTTTACATGTTAAAGCACATAATTCGATTAACATCATTGCCTATCCACATTTTCTCCGGAGTTTCCTGTAATTTTAGCTGTTTTATTTTTCATTTGTCGACTTTAACTGCAGTTTGGCACTTTCACTTTCATTCAGGAAAATTGCATTCATGCCCCTGTGACAAACAAAACATTAAATGAGAGTATGAACTGCTGGAAGAGTATTGTTTTAAAGGAATTTGATACTGCACACCGAATGGGGAAAAAAACTGGTGTCTGTGGTCCTTTACTGACTCTGTAGCTGCAGAGAATTGTCAATTGTCAAACATCCTACATGATGGTAATAGTTTGTTTAAGGTGTTTATATGTCTGTACTGCACTTCAATAATTCGACTAAAGTCGACATACTCTACATGTCTTAATCCAGTTTCTGTTTGCTTTAATTATGACTTTAGTGGATTAATGTAATCAAAAATCACTGTTTACATGGTCGACTCTTAATCAGAGTATTGTCTTAATCAAATTAAAATCAGACTATTGGTTTCCATGTAAACGTACTCATTAAGGCACTTATTAATCATAATTCAACATGTATTATTGCATTATTAAAATTCAAACATGTGCTTGTTACATTAATTTCTGCACTGTGAGTTAACAAAAACTAAAAATGAATGATTTATTTTACTACCTAACATTAACAATGAATAAAAACTGAAATAGATGTGCTGTTCGTTCCTCTTAGCAAATACCTTCAACAACTACACTGTAAAAAGCAAATAAGATACGTTACTTTACTAGTTACGTTAAACCTGTTGGCATAGAAACAACAAGTTGACTTTACTTAAAGTGGGTAAACCTACAGTAAATTAGAACCGTTATGTTTACTTAAACAATTATTCTTTACAATTGTACACAGTTTTTTGACTTAATTTTAATGCAACAAGTTTACTCACTTTTTAAAGTAAAGTCAATTAATGACTTTTTTAAATGTAACAATTTGTTTTTAAATTGTTACCAAATATTCTAAATGCAAAATAATAGTTTAATGAATAATGACAATGTTGGGTATAATCTGAGTAAGGCACAATTTTAAATGATCTGAGATTCTCTATTAGCTTAATTTAATATAAAATACCAGTGGACCTTTTAGGATAAATAAGCAAAATCAATTGGAAAAATTCTCAAACTTGAAGAGGTCATTACATCTGGATCATCTTACTACAGTGCTAATGGCCTCTCTTTCTCTCTTCTCAATAGCCTTCAGGGCTTTTTCTCGACTGCGTATCCTCTCAGGGGTGAGTCCCAGTAGCTGAGCCATATCCGCCTTGAAAAAGCTACGGTTGCCATAATAGATGGGCCCATTGTAGGTCAGGATCTTCACACCGGGCACTTCATAGCACTATGGAAAAGAGACATTGAGAGGGTCATCAGTTAATCAACAGAAATGGGATAAAATTTATCTTCTCTTCCCTAGTGGAAAGTATATCTGAATGAAAAAGCTATACTTGAATAAGAAAATTAATTTCAGTAGGGATTAATCCATGGGGAAATGAAACATTGGGGTTTAGTGACAGTTTTTCCCTCCTTTGCGCTGGTAAACACGTCACCAGAGTAAAGATGTTGTTGCAAGTGGGAGTTATTATGATTGAAGTATTTAAAGTAAACACTGCAATACAAGAACTGCACTGATATTTGGTGACAGCTTTGTATGTGGCAAAAAAGGAAAAAAAAAACAAATCGCCTCAAGTATTTCAAAACTTTAATGAGGTTGATGGCGAGGATTTTCTGATGGATGCTCCAAAATGGAGTAACACATATCCTTTCTTATGTCTTATTATAAATAAAGTTAAATGTTTAAGAGGCTAGAATATATGATGACCCCAGTGGAGTGGTGT